ATTTTTACAGTCTTTATCTTACAGTTAAAATAAATGTTTATCAAATAAAGTTTAATGTTACAACTAATCGTGGATCCCTTTTAAGGCTATTGAACAGATTTTATGCATTTTGTTATTACCATGAGGGTTATGCATTTTAAAAATGTATTGATTCAATATGTTTTTAGATCAATTTTGTCCGTATGTTTAAATTCATGTAAAAAGCAATTGTTACTGTTGTAAAAAATGAAAAGTTTTATGTTGTAGTTTGAAAGTTGGAAATTGTCAATGAAATAAAGTATTTTTAAAATATATTGTTTTATTTACTTGAAATTAGAGAAATTACTGACATTTATTGTGTTTAATCAATGAAGTTGTGGGTTGAAAATTTGATTTTTAACAGCTAGCAATAGCCATAGTATGCAGAAGTAGTTCAAATACTGTTGGGATTACAATTTAGGGGCCCTCTTAAATATAACTCTTGTTTTAATTCTATTTCAGGGTTACTGTGATTTTATTACAGTCAAATTATGAAAAAAAATCACAGTAAACCTTATGGAATTACAGTAAAATTATAAAAATACAGTAAAACTGTTGCAGAATTACAGTATAACTGTAATATCACAGTAAAACTGTAATAGAATTACTGTAAACTGTAATAAAATCACAGTAAAACTGTAATGGAATTACAGTAAGGTTACTGTTAAAATTACAGTAATGGGCTGGCAACCCTGCTGCCAGTAAATTACTGTAAATTTTACAGTGATTTTTTTTGTCTCCTTATCCATCCATTTTATTATTTACTGTTGTTTCACCAGGCAAGTCTCAGTGAGATCTCAGATCTCCTTTTCAAGGGAGATCTGGACCTGAAAGCAACCTATGAGTACCTGGAGAAAACCCACACAAGCACGAGGACAATATGCAAACTTTGCACAGAAAGACCCCAGGTCCGAACAGGGGATTGAACCTAGGACCTTCTTGCTGTGAGAAGTCAGTGCTAACCACTGAGCTGTTGTGCCGCCAAACTATCAAACTACATCTCTTGTTTGTTTGTTTGTTTGTTTGTTTGTTTGTTTGTTTGTTTGTTTGTTTGTTTGTTTGTTTGTTTGTTTGTTTTACTTTCCTCCTTCTCTTAAACCACTGCCTTGCCAACCTAAGTTAAGTGCCTGCAAATGTCTGGTATTCGAGACCTAAACTTGATGTTTGCTGCTTCTATTTTAAGTGCTGGATTGATAATTAACTAAGCTTGAAGCATCCTTGTTGTTGTTGATTCTTAAACTTCTTATAGGAAATGATGTTGTCACATTAAGTGTGATTTTGTTTAATTGTGTAAATAAATGATAGCATTTATTGATGGACTAATTCAAAATTCATTGAGCAGAGTCACTTTTGTGTCGTGTCATTCACTCTGCATGAAGAAGATATTTTCCCTAATAAACAAAGATCCCTTGTTAAATAATTTCCTTATAAGAAATGTAACTTTATTACATAGGTCTTTCACCTCTTTATTTAAAACAATTACTACAACAAGACCCCCCCCCTACCTGTTCCTCCCAACTTATTACTAAAAATCCCTAAAACCAAGTCTTCTTTTGGCCTTATGTCTTTCCATTTTGCTACAGCAAATGTTTGAATCTTTTATCTAAACACACTGCATTTTCACACTTTGATTTCTAGTCTTGCTTTAAACCACAGAATAAAATACCTTTTTAAGGAGTCATGTTTTTTTCAACCAGTTTCACTTTTTTCAGCACTGCGTTTTGGCAACGAAAATATTCATTTTTCTACAACCTTTGTCTCTTCGATTCTCGGCCTGATCACAACTCAACATCTCTGATTGCTCAGTTTGAACTAAAGACTTAGAAGACAAAGAGAACTAAATGTAATAATGTTTTGTATGAGCTGTATAGAAATAGTTGCTATAAACATCTTCCTCTCCTCACCCTTTCTGTGTTTACGTCTCACTCTCCTGTCTCCTGCTTTCACACAGTTAATCCCGAGGCTTGCAGGAAAACTCCCACCTAGTTCGTTATGCAAGAAGCGAGAGGATGAGGATCAGCAGYAAGAGGCGCAGCAGATTAGTGGCGTGGAGGAAAGTGACGATTGCAGTGTCGTGGAAGTGATTCAATCACACACACCCCCACCCCCCCCAAGAGTTTCCACTGCACTTTTTAGAGAAACACAAACAGTGGTGGAAGAAACACACTCTGGGACCTGCTGCGCTCTTTTGAAGCGTGGTTGTAGCTTTTAAAGGACCTGGGCAGCTGTCAGCAGTGACCTCATGTTGTTCCTGTTGGTATGCAGGACACACACACACACACACACACACACACACACACACACACACA